GGTGAGCAGGCCCGGTCGCGACTCGTTGCGGCCTGAGGCCTCCGGGCATAGAGGTCTGGTCGGGTAGGGCCGGAGGTGTCCGGGCACGGAGGTCTGGTTGGTCAGGCCCTAGCTTGTCTAAGACCGGAGGTGTCCGGCCGCTGGTAGTCTTGTCCGGTCCCATCCCACCTCCGTGGCACCTGAGGTGTCCCAGCTCGGAGTCAGGGGCCCGGGCCCGGGGGATCGGTCAGCTCTGGTCCCATCCCGTCAGGGCACGAAGGGCTGGTCCTTGCTCGGTTGACCCTGTGGTTGAGTTGTGCTGGTCCCTTAAACTGAGCTTAAGACCAGCTGCTCCTGGAGGGGTATAGAGCTGGACTTGTCCTAGTCAGGCCTAAGAGGTGCTTTGATTTCTGGTGTGCTGACGCTGTGTGCTTTTCCCCTTGCCTGCAGGAGGCTGACGTATGCGCTGAGCTCTCACTATGAATGCTATTGTTGCCCTCTGCCATTTTTGTGAGCTCCACGGTCCTCGCACACTCTTTTGCACCGAGGTTCTGCATTCACCACTTCCCCAAGGCGCGAGCAGCGGGGACATCTCTGGGCAGAATGAGCAGGCGGAGGAGGAGGAAGGTGGCATTCAGATGAGCAGTCGGATCCGCTCGCACAGCCCGGCAGAAGGTGCCAGCGCCGACTCCAGCAGCCCAGGGCCAAAGAAGTCAGACATGTGCGAGGCAAGTGTGAATGTGTGCGGATGTCAGTGGTCCTTGGCTTAACTAAAGGGATCTTGGATTCTCTAAGGCAAATTGAATTAAAGGAGAGAAAAAAAGAAAGTGAGCTGCACTGGTGTCGTGGTTTAGGGCTGGCCCGGCCACTAAATCCTGGGCAGATGCTCTCTGTTAACCCCTCTCCCTTCCCCAGAAGGGAAGAGAAAAGAGAGTAAGGGAGAGAGACTTATGGGTTGGAAAATAAAACTAACAAGTTTAATGAAACAGTAATACTGATACTACAGGATAATAATGTAAATAGGAAAATAATGGAATATATACAGATATGTACAAATGTATTTACAAAACCAATATAAAATCCTCCCCCAATGATGATGACGGCACCAGAGGCTCTTGGAGCACTGGAAAAGTCCCAGACTGAACTCAGCAGCAGTGGGAGCTGATGCAGGAACACAGGGATCAGGATCAGAGGCAGATGAACCAGGAGGGTTCTGCTCAGACTTTGGCCATTGCAGGATTGAGAGGGATGGAAGGGTCTGAGCTGGAAGGGCTCCAAGATGGAAGAAGGGTCAAGACCCTTGTGATCCCTCAGCTTTATACCGAGTATGACATGTGTGGGATGCAATACCTTGTTGGTCAGTTTTGGGTCCACTTTCCCCCCCGTAGGTGCAGACACGGCACCCATGGTGAGACAGCTTGGCCTTGAACATTTTTCAGTACACGTTGTCTGGGAAAAACGTGCTGCCAGTTTTCAGCAGGTTCAGCCACTTAAGAGAGACCGAGCTGAAAAGTAAAATCACTAAATAGAAAATGAGTTCTGTTTAGCTCAAACCAGGACAACTGGTTTTGTACGTGGCTGCTAGTACCAGAAGATAGCCAGATTCTCATAAAGTGTAATGATCTACGACAACGGGACGAAGGAACTGTTGTTGAGCTTACAGACCTTGACATAATGATGTCTTGAGAACCTGTGGTTCACTTGTGGCTGCAAAATGCTCCTCTCATCCTTGAAGAACATTTAGCGGTTTTTGGTTAGAAAACAGAAAAAAAATGCAAAAGCAATTAAACCAATGTGTATTTGGAAAATGTATGCTCCCAGTCATTACTGTGCTTGTCTGTTATTAGTGCTTGCTCTGAGGTGTTTGTTATTTACTGTCCTTTAGGTTTTGGCCAGTTTTGTTAGGCTGGTTGCTTTCACAGCAGCCGTTAACTGAATTCTGTCAGGTTTTTGGTTAGAAAACAGAAAAAAAATGCAAAAGCAATTAAACCAATGTGTATTTGGAAAATGTATGCTCCCAGTCATTACTGTGCTTGTCTGTTATTAGTGCTTGCTCTGAGGTGTTTGTTATTTACTGTCCTTTAGGTTTTGGCCAGTTTTGTTAGGCTGGTTGCTTTCACAGCAGCCGTTAACTGAATTCTGTCACTTGTAGAGCCAGCACCAAGTTCACAATCAAATTAAATAGTGGAAAACAAGCACAGGAAGTATAGCATGCAGAGCTCTATCTGAGGGGCTGGGTTCAAATCCTGACCCCAACTCGTGTTTCTTGTCTTCTGAGTATTTGTCATTTTAGCTGTATGTGTAAATAAAAAAAATCCTCTACATTTTTGAGGGGAATATGCAGAGGCCTTTGGAAATCTTAGGTAACTGCATGCTCATTTATGGTTGGATTTGCTTTTCTATCTTCAGGGTTGCCGCTCTCTTGCAGGAGGACATCCCGGCTACGTCAGCCACGACAAAGAAACTTCCATCAAGTACGTCAGCCACCAGCACCCGAATCACCCCCAGCTCTTCAGCATCGTGCGCCAGGCCTGCGTTCGCAGTCTGAGCTGTGAGGTAACTGCCTTGGGGTATGGGAGAAAACGCCTTTATGGCCTTATGCATCATTTCAAATCCAAGATCTTTGCTGATCCTGCCTGCTCTGTGCAGCCTGAAAAGAAGAGGGAATGGAGGTGGACAGACAGACACGCAAGTCTGTTCCTTCCAGGACTGATGGGAATTTTGAAGGTTCATCTTTGATAACCTTGAGGGTTCCTTCATCTCACCTTGTGAGACCAAAACTTTCCGTGTCTTGGTATTGTCTCTGTGTGTTTATTGTTTTTCTTTTGAAGTTAAACTGTTTTTGTAAAAACATAGGAATCTGTTGCTTAGTGCTAAAAATACTTGATCTGTGTAGACCATTAACATTCAGCATCTCATAGAAGTGAAGGGACAAATGAGTGTTTATGGGCCAGGATCAGCAAAATCCTTTGTGGATTCTTAAAAGTACTGGAGTTGAATAGAGCCCAGTTCTTAAAATACAGTTACATGGGAGGTTTTTTAAAACTACTGTTACCTTGAAGGTTTTTTAATGTCTGTAGGATACCTCTGGGGGTCTGTTTGACTCTGGGTTTTGGATAGTAGCCTAAAAAGGGCTTGTTTTATTCACCAAGTGTGTGTTAAAGAGCAGAGAGCTTTGCTCAGTTTATTACCATTTCAGCTGTGTGATGTGCTTGGGTGCTTGTGTCCCTTCCCTTCAGGTCTGCCCAGGACGTGAAGGCCCTATTTTTTTCGGAGATGAGCAGCATGGTTTTGTGTTCAGCCACACCTTCTTTATCAAAGACAGCCTCGCTCGAGGTTTCCAGCGCTGGTACAGCATCATCACTATCATGATGGACCGGATTTACCTCATCAACTCCTGGCCTTTCTTGTTGGGAAAAATCAGAGGCATCATTGACGAGCTTCAGGGCAAAGCACTTAAGGTAGGGCAGCGCACAGAGTCCATTTAACTCGGGGTTGTGAGAGTTGATGTACAGCTGAGTCAAAACGCTGATTCAGCTCATTGCAGCCAGGGTGGTCATTAGGGCTGACACAGGGGACAAGGGGACAGTGTGTATCTGGGGATGTAGGAGGGAAGGAACAAGAGGCTTCATCATTTTAAGCCAGTCATGACAATTTTCACAGACCTAACTGCTGGACAGTAGCTCTGTTAGAAATGTAACTAAAGGTGTGACGACAATGGTTTCAGACCACAAGTTGGTCTGAATAATGATAATTTTAGTGAATTTAAGGATAAGATGTCCCTTTCCTCTCTTTTCCCATAACTTACAGTGTATTTTAGGTGATTGTGCATGACGCAGTCTTTTCACTTCATATTTTTGTTGAAGTTTTTTGGCTCAGCTCTATGTGAGTAATTTATCTTCTTCAGTCTCTTGTACTGCCCTTTCTCTGTGGTGTAGGTGTTCGAAGCAGAGCAGTACGGGTGCCCTCAGCGTGCCCAGCGGATGAACACGGCCTTCACTCCCTTCCTGCACCAGCGGAACGGCAACGCAGCCCGCTCCTTAACGTCCCTGACCAACGACGAAAACCTCTGGGCGTGCTTGCATACTTCCTTTGCTTGGTAATGCCACTCATGTTTCTGGCTTCTAGAACTCTCACAAAAGAGAACATTGTGATATTTTGAAAGGCTGGAAATGTGATTTGAGCATTTGGGTATATTTTTCTTGAGGTAGTAAGCTGGACTTTGCCAGCTCTGAGTTGGAGGGAGCTAAGCACAGAAAGACAGAAGTCTGCTGATGCCTTTAGGACAAAAAGTCCTTTTGCTGTGAAGTAAACATAATAATGTGGCTGCTAATGGAAACCATGTCTGTCTAGATGGAAAGGCTTTGCAGTATAAAAATAAATATGGAAGAAAACAAGAAAAGATGCTCCTACCACCAGCTGCTTGTACGTCGGATACACACTCTAAGTACAGTGGTTGTTCACCTGGAAATGCTGTGTATTGGGACAGGCAGCGTGGGAGGTGCAGGCATTTGTCACTGTGGTGTGTCTGTGGGAGTCCAGTTGCTCCAGTGCCTGACTTGCTCATCCAGCTTCCCTGGAAAGATGCCACGGAGAGGGTTGCAACACTGGCGTGTGACTTGGATGGGGGACTTGCAAAAGTAATTGCAAATTGTAGGCCTTTTGGTGACTTGGAGTGGCAGAGGTTGTAAGATGCATTGATAGTTACAACACAGAGGAAAGCAGAGCGATGTGTTGAAATAAACACAGATTGGTTAGTGGTTTTTTTTGTTAAACTGGTCACACCAAGTTTCTTACTGGATTTTTGCACCTAGCAAGCAGGCTTAGTGAATGCTACTTATTTCTTCCAATGTCTCCAGGCTTTTGAAAGCTTGTGGCAGCCGACTTACAGAGAAACTTCTGGAGGGAGCACCAACAGAAGACACCCTCGTTCAGATGGAAAAACTTGCAGGTGAGGTTGAAGTTTCCAGAGCTGGAAAACCCTCTGAGAATGCTGTGGATGCTAAAACACCAAGCCCTTTCATCAGCACCATAAGCAGAGGCATCTCTCCTCAACGTTACCTTAGTGGTAGACTCTGCAGTAGCTGATGCGCTCTCCCGTATGGAGATGACTCTGACAGGGATGTGACCTCGAGGCCCTCAGCCTTGTAGGCTCTCTGTGTGCACATGTGGTGTTTGTTACTTGTGTGGGAGCATTGCATCACTGTGATTATTCTTCCCTCAGGCTGGACTGGCCCTCCCAATGAACCTCTGTGGCCAGAAGAATTTGCAGTCACAACATATGAAGCATTCTTGCTCCTTATTCTACAAAATTTCTAAAATTAAAAGATCATATTTTTTTTCTTGCATTGAATTCATTTATTAGTCTATTTAAACTACAATCTACAAAACCTGCCTCAGAGCTTTAACCGTGACCTTTAAAGCAAGAATAGAGAACACATAGCTGGTCAAAAGGTTTGACTTTGTGTCCTGCAGAAGATGAAAGATCCTTGACCCTTTAGTGGTTATCTTATGTCTGAACTATGAAACTTCATTAGCACTCCAGGTGTGTCTGTGATGCTAGGACTTTAAGTTACTGCGCTCAGGATCCCCCACATACACCCAAAATCAGTTGGCTGCACCATGTGTAAGCACTTCTGAGGCAGTTCCCATCCTAGAGAACAACACTTTTTATGACCACTCTGCCTCTTTTTCCTAGACCTGAAGGAAGAGTCAGAAGGCTGGGATGGTTCTGAGGAAGAAGAGAAGCCTTCACCTCAGCCAGATATTGTGGAAGGGCAGGAGCTGTCTAAATGCTCCCCTGAAAGATCTCTGATGCCAGATCGCAACAGCTGGAACATAGCTCACAGAAGGTTGTCTGTCTTCCGCTCTCTCAGGCACATGAGACAGGTAAGGGAGGAGATGATGCTGAATTCAAAAGCTAAGAACCTCTTGTTTGCCTGATAACGGTTTTTGAAAAGAAATATTTATTTCCTGCACTTGTTTCCTGTTTCTGTGTTCAATGCAGTGCCTGCACAGCTAAAAACAGAGTGATAACTGCATCTCTAAGGGCACTCCCTTCCTCTCAGATCATGTGGGCCCCTAGCGATCACCACTCATGTGGGATGGGATCATATGATTTCTCTCAAATTCAGCATTTTTCCTCTTCCCGAGAGCAGTGACAGTAATTTAATACAGAGGTCCTGCAGCATGTTCAAAGCCAAGTAGTATTTGCTTAAAACAAAAGTGTTTCAGAGGGAAAAGAAGAATTTACAAACAAAACAAGTGGTTCTGTATAGATGCAGCTTTTCTCCAGTTACCTGGCTGGGGGTTCAGTGCATTTGACCCATGATCTCTGCCACACCAGCTTGCTTTCCTAGCCAGGACACTGAAGAATCTGGAGCAACCTAGAAATGGAGCTGTTGTTCTCTTAATGTGCTTGAAATAGAACTGGATCATTGATTAGGCACGTTGGCCAAGGGGTACTTCACTGCTGTTTGTTCTTGAAGCCATAGAGGGAGGCAAATACCGCTTTGCATGTGGCACCTTTGGCACTTCTCAGAGAAATACTTCATCCTGGTGCTGTGGTTTAGAGCTATGACTCTGTGCACAAGAGCTGCTAAATTTTAACGTTCATTTCTCCAGTTCTAGACATTTTCTGATGCGGCAGTCATGGTTTTGACAGGGCAAACTGGACATTTCACTGATTTTCATAACCAAGCAGAATTGTTGGGGGTTTTTTTCAGGTTCTCGGGGCATCAGCATTCCGCATGCTGGCTTGGCACGTCCTGATGGGGAACCAGGTCATCTGGAAAGCTCGGGATATGGATCTGGTCCAGTCTGCTTTTGATGTGCTACGGGTAGAAACCTTCTCCTTTGCTTCCTGCCTGTATATCTTTACAGATACTTCTCTAGTAGTCAGCCTTCATAATGACCCGTCTCTGACATGTAATCTTGTGGAGAATGTGTCCTAAATTATGTGGGTTTGAAAAAATAAACAAAAAAAAATGCCAAAACACCCACCAAACAAAAAACCCCTCCATCTGTGGATGTCTTGGTTGTCCTCAGCAACTGCATAGTCTTTCAAGCTGAGTAGAGTATTTCTGATCCCCAAATCAGGAGCATCTGCGTGAGCAGTGCTCCAAGTCTTGGCTGGCCCTGGAAGTCAGGGAGAAAATTGTGCCTTATGGTTTAGCTTCAGTGTTTCTCTTGACGTGTTTCCTTCCTCCTCTAGACTATGCTGCCTGTTGGTTGTGTGCGGATCATCCCCTACAGTGACCAGTATGAAGAGGCGTATCGGTGTAACTTCCTAGGGCTGAGCCCTCACGTCCAAATCCCATCCCACATATTATCATCTGGTAAGAAGCTGTTGTAGATCCCTTTCCTTTCCCCGTCATCTTATGTTAAAGGACACAAGATTGATTTATTTTTTTTAATTACTGACAGGTAGTCTAACAGCGCTGCATGAACTAAAACCTGTACCACTTCATTTTTTTTCCCCAACCCTTGCGTGATCAGTTCCGGTGTTTTAGGATCTGGGCTAGTGTAGATAATGTTCTTTTGGGCCCTTGTTGCTCTAGAGTTTGCTGTCCTTGTGGAAGTTCGTGCTGCTACCCGGTCCAGCCTCTACCCAACTCTGTTTGATGACGAGCAGTCCCTCAACAAGTATGAGTTCGTCGTCACCAGCGGTAGCCCGGTTGCAGCAGATCGAGGTGGGTGATTCTGAAAGCAGAAAGAACCTGTAGCATTGTGATTAAAAGAGAAAAAACGAGCTTTTACTACTAGAAACAACAAAATCTAACCAACAATTTAAAAGTGGGTCTGAAGGAAAAAAGAAGGCACCTGAACCTGTGTGCATCTCCCAGGATCCTCCACAAAATTCCACGTTGCTTCTTGGATCAGACGTTTTTCCAGTGGATGAGCTTTAGCTCCTCTTCCCTGGAAATGAAATCAAGGCAGGCCACTGGGGGGTAGATTTTTCCCCCTTGTAGAATAGGTAGGTTTCTTCCTGACTCGAGGAAGTTTATTATCTGTCAACTAATCAAGCCAAATTCTGTGTTTAAATTGGCTGTGCTGTTATTAATAGTGTAGCTTTCGGAGAGAAAGCTGCATTAATGCACCTGACCAGAGTCCTGGTGTAAAACAAGTGCGGGCTGGTGCTCTGGAGCAGAGTATGAGGTGGGACAAATGTGAATTCTTGTCTGAAATTCCAGCAGGGATTCAGACCCAGGCCATAGAATGAATGGACAAGTCCTTGCTAACAATTACTAGTAATTTACTATGAGTAACCTATAGTATGTGTGTCCTTTTTCTCACCCTTTCGCCCCCTCTTTCTGATCTCGTAGTGGGCCCTACAATCTTGAACAAGATCGAAGCTGCCCTGACCAACCAGAACCTTTCTGTAGATGTGGTGGATCAGTGCCTTGTTTGCCTGAAGGAGGAGTGGATGAAGTAAGTACGAGTGCGCTGCTTTCAGAGAAACAGCTTTGGCACTAAGCCTGGAATGGGTACAGCAGAGTTCAGGACAAACGTAGTCAGGTAACTTCTGCTTTAGTACTGAGAGCAGCTGGCGTTGCTGTTGGGAGTTAAGGATGTCGAAGTTCTACTCCAGTCCTAACTCTCCTTTTGGCTTTCAGCAGTTCTTAACCTTTATGCTTCAGTTCATGCATCTGTAGGTTACCTACATGACAATACTTGCCTGCCCTGTACGTGTTGTGAGGATTAAGTATGCAAATACAAACACGCCTGTCAATGTGTGCTATACTCCAGTGCAGATAATACACCCAACAGATGTCATGAGCCTTCAGGCGCTACATTTCAAAGGTGCAAATAGTTATAAGGACAGACCAGGCAGTCATGTGAAATAATTCACAGAACATCAGGATTTTGGGAGTTTACCTGAAGGCCAGGTGGGCACTAGATGTGCCTCCCAGGGAGATTCCCAGTTGTCACAATCAGTTGTTTTACTTTTCGCTAGAATGAAAAGACAGACTAGAATTGTGCACATCACTGCTGAAAATAATTCCCCTAATTCATCCTCCCTTTTCTCATACTCTTCTTTCCTCCATCTTCTTCACTCAAAGCACGAGAGTAGTTTCTGTGGAATATTGAAGCTCTTATTAACATTTAGTTGCAGTAGGTACTGAGAGAGGTTACCATCACTGCTCCTTCCCTGTTTGATGCATTCAAGTCCCTTGTAACCGTGACAGGAGTTTCTTGTTTCTGCAGCAAAGTGAAGGTCCTCTTCAAATTCACTAAAGTGGACAGCAGACCCAAGGAGGATACCCAAAAACTGCTGAGCATTTTGGGAGCTGCTGAGGAGGACAACGTCAAGCTTCTCAAGTTCTGGATGACCGGCCTGAGTAAGACCTATAAGTCCCACCTGATGTCAACAGTTCGCAGCCCGACGTCCTCAGAGTCCCGAAACTGAAGGGTGCTGAGCCTCACTTGCTGCCTTGGAGAATCGCAGGGAACCCCGAGGTACCGCTGCCGAGCCCGCAGCAAGTGCGTGAGGCGGACAGCGAAACTTCATCGCTGTTCTTCTGGTCCTCAAACTAACTTGAAGAGTGACTCGAGTCTTTTCTAATTGCTGTGAGACTGGGTTAATAAGTGCTAATAAATAGTGCTGCTGTCTGTCCTGAAACTCACCTCTCAGTCTAGGCCTCCACGCTCAAGACTAAAATACAGCAGCAAGGCTCAAAAGAATTGATGTGAATTAATTAAAATCCCTACTGTCATCGTTAAGCGTTGTGGTTTGACGGTGTACCTCGGTTTTAGATTTCATTGGCAAGACTCGGATGCCTGTGACGACGTCTGGAGCTCCTGGGAGCGGATCTAGGTAATCTCTCCAAATCCCACATAAATCTCCAAAATACCTGAGAGAACAAGAACCAAAAATAAGCGAGTCGTCACAGGGTATGGATCACGTGTAAATTATTCCAAACCACTTCATGCTCGGATTTAAGAAGAGACTGTTTTCTGCTGTAGCATAAATCAGGATGTCCTATTGGAGTCCTGTCACTCCACTTTATTTATTTATATCTTAACTTGAGACAGTTTCAGCATTTGCTTTGGGAAGCTCGTCTGGGAGGCAGAATTGTAACAAAAAGATGTCTCACTGCAGCCAGCCTTCCTCTAGAGGGCAAAATCCTCACCTTGGTTTGCCTGTGGTTGCAAAACTTCCAGGTAACGACCGTAACCTCGCACGGATAAGGTTGCTGGTGGTGTTCTGTCTTCAGAAAGCGTTTTCTGGCTTCCTAACTAAGTTAAGCAGAAGAGATCCAACCTGTAGGTGCTCCCTTCTTGTATAACTCTACAGTAGCCATTTTTGCTTAATAGCTCATGGAAACATTGGTGCATTTTTTAATTACCTAAACAGATATTCCTTACCTGTATCGTAAGGAATTGCTGTTTCTGTTGTGAAGGGGTTTTTTTTTGTCTTTCTTTTTTGTTTGTTGTTTTTTTTTTCCCGGGATTATTGTTGGGAAAACTTGACGTTACCGTAGACCTTTTTACCAAGCTAGAGGCAGGTTTTACCAGGTGACCTCCTACACTCATTCGAACGAGACTCAAGCGCGGAGGGGATGTTCCAACTTGTCGCGAGTTCTGTGCTTATGCAGCAAATGTGCAAGGTTGGTTTCTGTCTGGAACATCTGTAAAATGGAGACAGGCATTAAATCGCATCAAGAGCTATTTTTGTAAAATGGACAAAGCCTGGTTTTGTGTTGATTTTTCAGTGTCCGTGTGTGTGTGTTGCGGTGGGGGAAGAAGCACTTGATCCACAAGATGATTCCTGCATCTTAGCCTGGGTCTGATTTACAGAATTTAACAGATCTTTTCCTCTTAACTTTGTATTTATCTGTTTTGTGTACATACGAAACAAGAGATGCTTGGATACATTAATTGAAAGTGCTTGACTGGACATCAACCAACCACAGGATACTCAAACAGCAGACAGGTGCTTGGGAAAAGACATTACTCTGTTACTTCAAAAACGTATTTGATTTCAGGGTTTGCAAAAAAAAGCTTGCGTTTCCCAGCTGTCAATAAGGAAACAGAGGTGCTCAGGCTGTGTGCACAGGGAAGGAAGTTTTGAATAATATATGTGCTTGCTTCCTTTGTGCTCGGTGCTAATTATGAGGGAGAAACAAAGCCTGCAACAAGTAATTAGGAAAGCGTGGACTTGTAAATCAAAATTTCCAGTGCTAGATCGGTGCTCGCTCTTGCAGCTACCTTTTATGTGATCCAGTACTCTTTATTTGTGTTCTTGAAAGCTATACTGGTCCAATTTAGAGCTGTGTAACACAACAGGTGAGGTATTATTTGGCGTCTAGACATTCTCGATTGCTGAACTCCTCTTATCTTTTAAAGAAGGCTCTTCCATGCAATCCCACATGGAAACCCAGTCTCCATCTCACCTGCTGTTGATGCATAAGCACCCATGAGCAAAGCCCATGGGTTAACATATGATTTTTGAGCCAGGGCAAGGAAACCACTAGTGTAATACTTATAAAACACGCACAGGAAAGAAGGGGGAGAGTTTCTGAAGCTTGTGAACCAGTAAAAAAACAGATGTGCTGGCCTGCCAGAACAGATCTATATGTGGGATTACCAAATAATTGTCCAGGCAAGTTCCCACAGTTCACAGATTAGGCCATGGGGGCTCGTTTTGCCGTCAGCGATAGCTGGAATGTGCACGCTGCTCTTAGCATAATTTAATTAACAAAAAAGCACGTCTGCAGCCATCTTTCACCACCCTTCTTCCCTCTAAAGGGTACGCCTTAAAGACAAGCTGATTAAAGTAGGATGTTTCTTTATTCTGGCGTGATTTCCTTTTCTGCGTGGCTGAGCAGTGCAGGCCTGGGAGGGAGGTGGGAGCTGAGCACTGCAGCTGCAGGGACAGAGTCCCCCTAGCCAGGCAGGATCCTGCTGAGGGGATCCGTTGGGAATATCCAGTGCAGTGGGCTGGTGTGTGGGGAAGGGTTGGGGTTAGGGTGAATCACAGAGTCACAGCGTGATGGGGGTGTTAGAAGGGACCCCCTGCTAGAGCAGGGTCACTCAGAGAAGATCACACAGGATCATGTCCAGAGAGTTTGAATGTTGTCAGAGAACCACACACAGCCACTCTACAACCTCTCTGGGCAGCCTGGTCCAGTGCTCTGGCACCTTTACAGTTTTTTCCTCAAGTTGAACCTCCTGTGTTCCACTTTGTGACCACTGCCCCTTGTCCTGTTGCTAGGCACAACCAAGAAGGGTCTGGTCCCATTCTCCCGACCCCTGCCCTTTAGATATTTATAAGCATTTATGAGATTTTCCCCCTCAGTCTCCTCCAGGCTGAACAGCCCCAGCTCTCTCAGCCTTTCCTCCTACGGGAGATGCTCCCTCATCACTTCAGTGGCTCTGCACTGGGCTCCAGGGAGAGGAAGGCTCTGTTTCCAGACCGGGCTCACCTACACCCGTCTTTCCCACCCCTCAAGCCCCCGTGGGGCTGGGCTCAGGGCTCCGTGAGGTGGCTGCGAGTCCTCCCTGAGGACCCTTCCCACCATCGCCCGCACGGAGCCACCGCGCATGCGCTGGGCAGTGGCAGGGCCATGAGGGCGG